TGATTTATGTTGAAGTGTTGTGCTGCAGTTTTCTCTGCATATTTTCATCTTGAATATTTTCATCAGCTGAAGACTTCTGATTCTCAGTTTTTTTTCTTTTAAAAAATAATTTTGGATGTTCATTTTCAAGACTGCTGGATTTTCTGTTAATTTTCAAGACTGTTAGATTTTCTAGGGCCAGGTATTTCTACAAATGGGATTGAAGGATTTTAGTAGTTTACTAGGTTTCTTAGCTCAAGAGTGCCCTCTTTAGTTGGTACAGTAAAATGCAATTCCCTTAATGAAAGCATCTTTTTTCTTTCCTCTCTCTTTTTTCCCTGCATGGAGTGGGGAGTGTTAGGGAGAGTTTAATATGTCATCGTTTTTATGAAACTCTTCTTTCTGTAGGATTCTTAATTTCCAACTTTTTCTTCCCTCTTCGTCACCACATTTCCAAGAAATAGCTTTTCTATCTGAGTTCCTTTGTTTTCTCCCAGAAGCAGTACTCTCTGAAGACTTAACTGTTGGGCCATGCACTTTCAAGCCCCTTCAGTTCACCAATAGCAAGTGCTCTGATGCAGTATGGCTATTCTTAGTATTTCTCCACTTAGTGTGAGACTCTCTGGGATCTGACTGCATTCTCCTTTTCTCAAATAATTCCTGTTTTTCTCTTTCTTCTACATGAGCTTAATGGCTGGGACTATGATTTCCCCCCTTAAATAAAATAGGGTTTTGTAGTATTAAATGTCCTGGTATGTAGTAGATATGAGTTGTAATTTTATTTGCTGTCCTTGCTGAGCTGTATGTATATATGTATGTATGTATGTATGTATGTATGTATGTATGCATGTATGAATGACAGGGTCTTTCTCTGCTGCCCAGACTGGAGTATAGTAGCATGATCTTGGCTCACTGCAGCCTTGAACTACTGGGTACAAGCGATCCTCCTGTCTCGGCCTCCCAAAGTACTGGGATTACAGGTGTGAGCCACTGCGCCCAGCCTGTATGGTTTTTAGAAGATGCGTAGAAAGATTCAGATCTAGGCATTTGTCATTATCTTCAAAGAGTCCTCACTCTGTAGCCTCAACTTATAAATGCAGTATCTATAAATTTTTAGGTAAGACTTTCATGTGTATCCTAAATAATTCACCTCTTTTAAATTAGCTTCATACTGAGCAGACATACCAATTTTTTGAATAAAGATAAAATATAAAAGATGGTACATTGAGGTCTCTAAGCAATTTTAGCCTGGCTTCTTTCTCCCTGACCCTGTTGGACTAATAGAAGCCTTTCATATTGTGGTGGGTGTATATGATCAATGTATCCAGAATAGTCAGGATGTCAAGGTGTTCAATGTGTGCAGAGTAAACCTGTCTGAGATGATCAGTGCCCACAGGATGGTTGACACAGTCAGTGGATCTGGAGGGGTCAGTGTATGTGAACCACTACTTTGTAGAGTGGCTGGTCTTTCCTGACTGGTCTGGTTATGGATTATTCATTTTTGTATTTCTGACTCCTCCTTGTCAGGAAATGGCATCCCTCTCTCAGGTTATATGACCCTAGATTGGCAGGGATGCAGAGTGTTAACTACCAATGGGATATGAGATATAATTTCTTCATGGGAGGCTTTCTAGGTTTGTTAAAGGGACTGACAGCAGGATCACGGAAGGAGAAAAATTGGCAACAGGACAGCCTCAGCAATGCTCAGCTCCTGGTCACTTTCAAACAGTAGGACTCCCTGTCTCCAACTCTTTATGGTCCTGAGCAAGGCAAAAGGTTCCTTAATTGTGGTCCCTTGGTGTTTGGGTAATGGGAGTCAGAATGAGGAAGAATAGCTGACATCACAAGCATACTGAAATCATCATTCTATACCACTTACTGAGTGAGCCTTAAGCAAATAACTTAATTTCTCTGAGACTCAGTTCATCATGTTTAACTGGTGTACAATGCTTGGCCTATGGCCTGGCACCAGAGTAAACCCTCAATAAATTGTAACCATTATCTTCAATCACATATGTGATTATGTACACACACACACACACACACACACACACATACACAGAGTATCACTGTATATGCACATATTCACTGGCTGAAATTAATACGGGAAAACATCACACCAGTTGAAATATGGAACGGGGGAGAAACTCAAGTGATTTAAATGGGCAATGCTCTCTGATAAAACAGAATTCTCTATAACTCTGCATTTGGTTGTTGTTAAGGCTGGGAAGCCCTGTCCTAATTTTTTTAAAATTAAGATTGCAAATATTTGAAAATAAGATTTCACATGAAACACAAATGTTTGGCTTCTTTGGACAAATTGAATAAGCGTGGCAGCATTGAGTCACCATTCCTAAGACGGTTAACAACTGTCTGGAACTGAACAGTGGTTCCCCTCTGATAGGATGTGCCCTCCAGTCCTCACTGCCTCACCACTACTCACTGCCTCACACTCACCACTATTTCACTCATTTTTGTTTCCTAGAGTCGTAAGTTTTTCTCTTCATCTTAGTTCAGACTATGGTACAGTTACAACTTTATCATGCAAATCTGATGGTGTCATTTTCTGGCAAATAATCTACACTGCCTACCACCAACCAAGTGAAGACCTTCCCAATAGAATTCAATCTTATTGGCCAGGCGCGGTGGCTCTCACCTATAATCCCAGCACTAAGGGAGGCCGAGACAGGTGGATCACCTGAATTCAGGAGTTCGCGACCAGCCTGGCCAATATGGTGAAACCCCTCCTCTACTAAAAATACAAAATTAGCCAGGAGTGGTGGCAGGCGCCTGTAATCCCAGCTAATCGGGAGGCTGAGGCAGGAGAATCGCTTGAACCTGGGAGGCAAAGTTTGCAGTAAGCCGAGATTGTGCCACTGTACTCCAGACTGACAGAGCTAGACTCTGCCACAAACAAAGAATTCAGTCTTATCATTATCTTATCTCCCCAGTCCTGCCTCACACTGCTGTGGCCTCCACCTGCCATGCATGCTCACTTTCTTATGCCTACCATTTCCTCTGCTTGGGTTCTTCTTTGCAAGCTTCGCTCAGCTCAAATATGAACCCTTCCATGGGCTCTACTTGGCCAGCCAAGAGAGTTGCTATCTCTGTTTTTTCCTTCATAGTGCAGTGATTAACGTCAGCAGTTATGTATAGGGTAATCTGATCATATGTCCATCTCCTCCAGTTCATTGCAAAGAAATCTCAGGCAAAAACTGGCCCTGATTCATCTTTGTTTCCCAAGAGTGGAATAATGAAATAATCAAAGTTATAACTGGATGACAAGACTTATTAGTCTTAGGCCCAGTTTTATCAGTCAGTTAGGATGACTAGAAAATAAACTCTAATCAAATCTCAGTGGCTTATAAAGCAAAAGTTTATTTTTAATGCACACTACTCATCTACGATGAATTGGCTGCATCTCTGGTCCAAGTCTTCACTTCAGGATCCGGGTTGAAAGAGCTCTGTGAGGCTGCTGCTCTCATTGCAAAGGGAAAGAGAATGGTGTCCATGCTGTAGCTCCTAAAACTTCTGCTCAGAAGTGGCACACATCATTACTGCCCACATTTCATTGGTCAAAGCAAACCCTATGTCCAAGCATGAAGCCAATGGGACCAAGGTGTAATATCCTTCCAAGAGAAGGAAAAGTGGCTAGGCACAATGGCTTACTCCTGTAATCCCAGCACTTTGGGAGGTTAAGGTGGAAGGGCTGCTTGAGCCTAGGAGTTTGAGACCAGCCTGGGCAACACAGTGAGACCCTGTCTCTACAAAAAAAATAAGAAAAAAAACTTAGACCATTGTAGCATGCACCTATAGTCTCAGCTACTAAGGAGGCTGAGGCTAAGATCACATGAACCCCAGGAGGCTGAGGCTGCACAGTGAGCCATGATCGCATCACTGCACTCCAGCCTGGGTGACAAAGCAAAACTCTGTCTCAAAAAAAACAAACAACAACAAAGTGGGCAGGGGAGGCAGGTGCAATGGCTCACATCTGCAATCCCAATAGTTTGGGAGACCGAGGCAGGGGGATCACCTCAGATCAGGAGCTCAAGACCAGCCTGGCCAACATAGCAAAACCCCATCTATTAAAAATACCAAAACTAGCCGGGCATGGTAGTGGTCACCTGTAACCCCAGCTACTTAGGAGGCAGAGGCAGGAGAACTGCTTGAACCCAGGAGATGGAGGTTACAGTGAGCCAAGATCATGCCACTGCACTTCAGCCTGGGCAACAAAGTGAGATTCTGTCTCAGAAAAAAGGGGGGGGGACGGAACGTCATTAAATTTAATACAATCTACCACATTACCATCCTATTCAGTTACCCTTTCCTCTGCCTTTTCAGCAGCATGGACAAGCCTTTAGAACATATTTCTCAGGCTCCTATGTCAGCTGGCTTCTGCATGGGTTCAGCTAAGGGAAGCCGCCCCAGAGACAGAAGAGTGTGAGGCTGAGAAAAGCTAGGGTATTTTTCCCCATCCCTCACATCTCAGAGGCTTCTCCTGCAGCAGCTCTACTTTCTTGGTGATCCTAGCTCCCATGTGACAAACCTGCTATAGTTTCTGCTTCTGCTGAGTAATCCCAGATGCTACAACCTTAGAGTCATATAATCTGATCTACTTTCCTAATGTGTAAAACAGGGAGAGAATCTGCTCACCTCATCTAACTGTTTCAAGAAAAAAATAAATAGATCCCTGGTTGTCTAGTGGTTAGGGGAAAAAAACAAAGAATGTACATTAAAATTATAAACAATAGAGTGCTGGACAAATAAAGAATGTAAGGGTATACAAATAAGGCAATATAGTGTAGCAGAACAGAAAACAGGAGTGGGGATGATAATTCTTGGTTCAGGTTCTTGCTTTGCTATCAACTGTCACCTTATCCAGGTAACATCGAGTTATTTTTCTTATCTGCAAATTGGAGACACTGTTGGTAATGCAGTGGTTGCAGACGGCATAAATGAAAGTATTTGTGAAATGAAATGAAAGTATAAAAAGCTATATAAACATTAAATGAATTCACTAGTTATAAGCAGAAAAAAACTTTATTTCTATCAAATTGAGAAGTATGAACCTTCAAGCAAGATAATCAAAATAATCAATAATAAAATTAACAGTTAGGATAGCATAAACAGATCAGACGGGAGATTTAGATACTTTGAAGCACATACACCAAAATTAAGAAGGCCAACAACCATCCCACCAAGGAAAATCACTCTGACTCATCGTAAACACACGACTTCTGGGAAACTTGAGCGGACATTTCACAGGACAGTAAACCAAAGAGACAGGTCATCATTGGGTTACAGAACTGACGTGAGCTTGAGAGGGATCACAGTGAAATGCCATTGTAACTCAACAATTTCCCCAGAGATCTGTCCATCTCAAAAACAAGAATATATAAAAATCAGTAGTACAAATTCTCATAAAACTAGAAAAGCCCTCTAAGCCCTAATATCCTTGGAGCTTACATAAAGACGGAGTTTTCGTTTTTCTTCCCTTTACTCTTCTCTAAATTAAATACAAAATAGTTTGTTATTTAGGACATTTCTGACTATACAGCCAAAGCTTTAAAATGAAGACAAGAATAATTTTATAAAATGAATTAGACACATATCAACCCTAGGGGGAATCTTCAAGGTGGTCTGCTCCTTTGAAAAGCTTTAAACAGGAAAGCTTTTACTTAAAGAATGACACTGCGTTTCCGGGAATAACCTGATTATTTCCAGAGGAAGTAATTCATATATATGCCATACAAGAGCTTTCACCCTTTAGAAGTGTTTTACTGAGTCACACACACACACACACACACACACACACACACACACAAACCTCACTGATCAAATTGGGGAATTCCCTGAAACATATAGATAATGGCATTTATTCTGGCAAGAACTGTGCAAATTGTTATGAGAAAGATAAGGGATGGCAAGTATGAACAATTATATTTCAACAGATTCAGGAAGCAGATTTTTTTCATAGTTGAAATACAGCTTCTCAACATCTGAGGCTTGCACACTTCTCATCTGGAAACTGGGTCACTTACATGTGGAAAGGAATAACTTATTACCAGACCACATTACCATATTAAAAGTCTCCATTAGCAGGTTCTTTTGTTAAAGACATCAAATAGACCAGAGATACTAAAAATGGAAGGGGACAGTGAGAAAGCAAGTCATACTATGAACAGGACCTCACCTTACGAACTGCCTCTTTAGCAAAAGCAACTGCAGAAAGTAAAGAAACTAAGTGAAAGATAATCAACAGAATTCACAGGTGAAATCCTATACCCAGCAGAACAAAGATGAGACATGCCCTCTGTAGATACAGTGGGCAACTACCTGTTTCCCGTCTCTGCACTGAAGCACCAAAAATAAAAGATTCCAGGCTGAAGTAAATACATTGTTCTATCTGTTAATGAGAACAGGGAGCTCAAACTAGGGAAAGGTATAAAAAAGGCTCTTTGAATTTCCTGATTAATCCCTATAGGTACATGAAAACACGTTTAAATAAACAGGATTATTTCCACTTATAAAACTAGGAGGCAATTGAGATTATTACATAGGTAGCTGATAAGTATTTGATTAGCCAATGCATGTAACATACCTAACATGGAGTAAACAAACAGTACCTACTGCCTCTACCTGAACACATTTGGAAGTAAGCAGTATTTGTTATTAGAGCAAAGACCTCCAGCAGGCTTTCACTCCTTGGACAAAAAGCTAATGTCAAATGCTGAACTCGGGTACTGGTGAACTAAATCGTATAAAAGCACTATTTATGGGTTTGTGCAGGCATCTTTCTAAGTTATCCTGTTTCAACATCTTAAGTAGCAGAAAAAACCACACCAGCACCTCTCTCCAAGAATCCTTCTTCATTAATGGCTATTCTTACCTTTCTCCTTCCCTACCAGAGACGGGCACACCTAGGGTAACAACAGAGCTCATCTGAGCTTGGCTGCCAGAGGGCAGCAGGGGAGTAATCCCTGGGGAAGGACAAAACAGGAAGTGAATCTCCCGTGGTTACTGCCTCAACTGTTGCACGACAAGCAGATGATGGGCAAAGATTTGGATTTGGCATTCAGAGTCATGTTAATGTGTAATGGAATCTAGAGACAATCGCACAAATGTCAGGAGTTAATCTGTGTTCGATGCTCCATCATCGTTTGTTTACCTACCAGCACTTTGAGGGTTCATTTATCATCAAGACCTTGTTTGGAGTGGGAGTAAGGAGGTGATTTGTTCTGATCTCAGGAAAGAAAGTGAGCCGGGTCCTGGATAGCTCCAAGGAGCTCAAAAGCCTATGTGTGAGCACCATGGCTGGGGATAGCTCAAGGGTAAAGGCCACTTCAGGGGCATGACCCAGTGGACATCGAAAGTGATAAGGAACATGAGCTTGCTTCCTTCACAGATTAGCCTGGACCCAAGCCCAGCCTACTCTGACAGCCTTTTATTCTATTCATAAAGGAGGTCTTATGCAGGAAGACTGACTCCCCTCTAGCAGCTTTCTTTGCTTAAGCAAGAGGAGGAGGAGGAAAGGAACATCACAAAAAGGTGAACATCACTTTGGTCAGCTCGAGCTCTGCTACTTTCTTTTTTAAAGAGACAGGGTCTCACTGTGTTGCCTAGGCTGGGGTGCAGAGGTGCAATCATAGCTCACTGCAGCCTCGAACTCCTAGGATCAAACAATCCTCCTGCCTCAGTCTCCTGAGTAACTAGGACCACAAGTATATATCACCAGGCCTGGCTAATTTTTAATTTTTCTGTAGAGATGGAGTCTTGTAATATTGGCCGGGCTGGTCTTGAACTTCTGCTAATTTTCCCATCATAGCCTCCCAAAGCACTGGGACTACAGGCATGGACTAGCTCCTAGTCCATACCTAGACTAGCTCTGTTATTCTTGATCTGAGGCCACAAGCAGAACCAAGCAGACTCAAGGCCCTTGGTTGCTTGGACACAAGTAGTTATTGAAAACATCCAGGAATAAGTTCAGTCTTCGGAGTCAGGAAAACCTGGGCTGGAATCCTGGCTACACTGGTCATCAGCTGCAGAAGCCTGAGCAAGATGCTTCACATCCCTGGGATCCCTGTCTTGTTTATCAACATGAAATCATGACTGTTTCATAGGATGCTGGAAAGATTAAATGTTTATAAAGGTCCTAAAACCGCATTTTACTCAGTAGGTGTTCAATAAACAGTACCTATCTTAAGTCTGCGTTAGTGTTGGAGGGTATTAAACACAGCAGCATTTCCAAGTTCTAAGTAAGAAATCTGTTAGGATAATGGAAGCAAACTGAATTAAGAGCTGGGTAAAATGACAGAATGCGAAGTCAGGTTGGCACCTCAGAAACCATTTCAACCACTTGCTTTGCTTAATGGTGAAGGAACGGTCATATGTGATAGTAGAAAAAAAACAGGGAAAGACATCCCTTTACTTTTACTTTTGGCAAAACATTTTGAAGATAACCTTAAGTTTTACAAAATCATTTAAGGGAAAACTAGTGAGTTCGTTGAAGAAAACCAGAAATAGATTTTTTTAAAGGCCATTGACCATGAAATAAGCATTATGTTTCAAAGATCATGGGAAAGATATTTGTCTTTTTTTGGTCTTGCCTAGCAAGGGAGGTGAGATCAAACCGCTCAACTGCTGGACAATCTCAGCAAACACACCCACTGTTGAGACCTACTGAGTGACTCAATGTTGGCCAGAATTGTCCATTTAGCTGGAGAAGAGGGAGGGAAGGATGGGTGGACGAGGAAAGTATGGAAACAGGGATCAGCCATTTCCCAAACCTCTCCCAAACTCCAAAGGCAATGATCACATTGGAGGGTCACCTAAACATGAGAAGTGAAGAAAGAAGTTTGAAGACTTTCCTGTTGCCAAAAAAGCACAGACTTTCCTTTTGATTATTCTATAGAATAACTCTCTACATTTCCCAGTTTGTGGAAATTTTCTCTACAGCAGAACTACTCTAAATCATGCATTTTCCTCATGTCAAACTTATTTTTCTTTATACTTGGTTCTCCAGCAAACCTGAGCTTTTATCTCCATATCCAATATGCACCCCATCTCCACAAACTGGCATTCAATTGCAACTCTAAATTCTAAAGTGCTCAGAGTCAATATAACGCACTGATGATTCATAGACCCGACTGGGCATCTTTACTATATAAACCTAAATAGTAAACAATGTCATTATGTTTGAGAGGATGGGGAGGAGGCTGCTCTATATTTCCACTAAGGTATCCAAAAAACATTCACATGAAGGGACAATGGGAGAGGAGCTGGCAAGAGTTTGGGCAGTACCTAGAAGGAAGATGGATTATCATACAGATTATTTATGGCAGTGAATTGACAGAGGATTCACTGGAGCATCTTCAGAAAGTAAGTAATGTGTTTCAACACCACTGAAGTACTAAAATAGGCTTCTTTCCGTCTCACCGGTATGAAAAGTTAGACAGAAGTCACTCCCAGGAATAGTAAAGGACACTCGCTGGGGACAGTCATGATGCATGAAGGGATATATATTTTTAAGGCAGCAGGAATAAATTTCATCATCCTTCCCAGAGGACAGCAAAAATTATTCAAGGTGGCCACCAAGTCTGGAAACAAGGCAAATCTTTTAGCAAATGGTTTATTGATATTATGTTATAATGAATGACAAAATATTAGTATCTAATTCTAGACTTTATGGCCACCCCATAGGATGAATCTTTGGAACAGGAAAAAAAAAAAAGATTTTGTTTTCCTATAATTGTAAAGCTGTTATACTCAGTCCAGGGGCAGCCAGTACAACATTCTGCTCAACCCCACAGGCTCCATTCCTTTCACCACCTATTTATAGTATGTTTGGGTCACTCACAGGAGTGAAACACTGTCAGCATCAATAGTTAGCAACACTTTCAAAATACATTTTATTGTCCTGAATAGAAACCTTAACTATTCAATTAGTCCAGTAATTCCAAATGATCTTTTTACTTCTACACATAAGACCTTATAACATTTATGTAGCTAAATACTTATATTTCCCATCCTTTTTGCAGATTCCCAAAAGACTTTAGGGGGTTCCTAAGACTTTTAGGGGTTATTTTCACAACAAAAGAAAGGAACAGTGTTAATCCATGAGAGTCACACCAGCAGTTTAGTAAGATCCTCTTCATAGCTCAGTTCCTGGTGTATAGTGATTCAATACAGTCCCATTGCTCTCAGTTCTTAATTTGAGAGGGAAAAGAGCAGTAACAATCTGTTTTGTTTAATAGCCTAAGAGTGAAAACAGATGTTAAAAAAAAAAAGTCAAACAAAAAACCAGAAGCTAAATTCTTTCATCTCAGGATGTCTGAAAAGGAGAGCCTCTATGGAGTATGGATGCAGAAAAAAGTTATTCCTACTGGAAAAAAATGAACTGTGGACACAGTCACTCAACACCAGAGAAACAACCACTGTGAGCAGCTTCAATTTCACTGTCACCAGGAGGGCACACACCACACAGCCTAGGACAAAGCCTGGGCTAGAGCCCTTCGTGTTCATTCTCAGCCTTCTTGGTGCTGTGGTTCAACAGCCTTTGAGGGGTTGGGGAGAACCAGAGACCATCACCAACACGTGTAAAAAAGGATACCACAGCAACAACACAGCTGTCAATAATCAGCTGGAGCTGAAGTTACACCCCGTTTGAAATCCACACTGTACTTGCTTTCTTGTGAAGGGCTTGAGACATGTGCAGAGACACCTTAAACGTGTAGGTGACCTTCTTTTTGAAAGGCAGAGGAGGGCCTCTTCGTGAACACTTTCTGCTCAACTGTTTCCCTATCAGTTCACCACTGCAACTAGAAAAGATGCTGCAAGCTACCTCAGCTAGCTTCTAATTTGGACACAGCACCAATACTACACACACGAATGAATGACCACATCTTCCTGGTTCTTCCACTGGGCAGGGTCAATATGCTTCTTTGGACTGAATAGGTGTGATCTTGTTTGAGAAAAGCGTGTAAACGTAGGGCCAGATTTTGTTCGTCTCCGTCCCAGAAAATTGGTGGAGCACTCCTCGGCTCCTGAAAAACAAAGTCCAACATACAAAGGCATTTTAGGTTTCTTTTTCACATATTAGTGCAAACGATCCTAGATATAGAACAAGCATGATCTCATGTCATATATCACACTAAGTGCTAAAACAGCCCCTTTCACACGTATCAACACCCCCACTGGGTGTACCTAAATAAGGTCATAGCTTCTGCCATTCTGGCATGCTTGTCATGATGCCACCTTTTTCTCCCCTTCAAAACATATGAAAGAATAGTATTATAGGGGCCATCCCAAATGTGCCTCAATATTTAATTTTCAAAAGCAAACCACTGAAAAGCTTTGGAATACTAAAACCCTTATTACTTAAATCAATCACAGAACACATGATTGACCTATCATAATAATATAATCATAAAACTCTGACATAAAGGTTTGCTAAATTTTCTGGGGACTATAAGGCCAGAAAGTGATTGTAGCCAAGAGTATAAACTGCCATTTTGAATGCACTCAGCGCACAGTTTTGTTTGACTTGCATGTTATTTAAAAATTTTTAATATGTTGCCAATATGAAAACCGAGATTCCTCCCTTACACATGCACAGAGAGCCAGATTTCTGCTATTCCTGAAAAACGGGAATCACTGGCCTGTGTGCCCCGGGGGTGATAATTGGCTGGAGCAGCCCAAGACCTGTGCAGTTCAACTGTCACTCAACTGTCTAGTTTGACACATCCCCCACCATGTTTGAGACTCATTTCTAATACCTGCCTAGCCGCTGCAGCCATTTGAACTTTTAACCTCTGGTTTACACTTTTAGCCTTTGTTAAACTCCCTACAGACACTTCAAGAAGGGACACACCGGCGTCTCTTCTAATCTTCTATCCAAACCAGTTATTTTTATATGTGGGAGTGTCAACATATGTGGGACCACTATCTCCACCACATAAAATTTTAAGAAAATGAAAATAAATCTCAATGTTGTTTTACATCCAGAACAGACAGAAGTGATCAGGTTCAGGTCCTTATGTTGTAACAGTTTCAGGATAAAAGTCTGAACCTTATCTTTCATGTGTAACTCCAGCATTTCATCTGACTTCTGGGAAGGTTTTGGGTCCTTAGGGTTTATCTGTCTTAAAGAAACACTAATCTGCCTCAGCCCAGTGTTCTTCCCAGCAGGCTCCACACCTTTCCAGTCTGCCCTTTGTCATGAAATATTGAAGCACACTCACTTGTATAATTCAATGACTGGCTTTGCCACATCTTTGTACTGTCTTAGCCTGGCAGCAACTGCTTCAGGTTTATCATCCTCCTGCTGGACTAATGGTTCACCAGTGACATCATCAATACCCTACAAATACCAAGGAAACCAATTAATATAGACAACAGTTGGGCCTTTCATAGGTAAAAACTTTTCTGTGCAAAACTATGTATTCATCTTTGACTCCTACCACATTATAAATTAGGCCTTGGTGAGAGTGGTAATTGTAAGAGTAGTAGAAAAAGAAATAGCACACTTGACAGTATGTTAACCTTATTTCCTGGGAGCTGACATTAAACCTTTATTAACAGTTCAGATCTTTTTAAACATGTTCCAGTGCGGTTGATAAATGGTACTTTCATTTCACTCTAAAATTCCATGCAACCTCCCCCAACAACAAACCTTCAGACAATATCATCTTGGTTCTCTTAACTATCCCTAAAACTACCTTGCCTTCTAAAATAAAGCCTGAGTTATTAATGCGGAAAAGAAAATCTCAAAAAAAAAAAAAAAAAACCCAACTTGGCTTACTTGGGAAAAATACTCATCTAGGAGAATACAGTTCAGTAACATCTCTGACAGCTTTCCAGTTCTATCCTGGAGCATCTATGAAATTTCTTACTCAGGTTATTTTACTAGATTGAATTATGACATACACTGTAGGAACATACAGAAGGGAAAAAAAAACTGACGTGACTGTGTCCTCACCTAAAGTATATTACTCAAAAGAGAAGCTGGTGTTGATTTGTTAAATCCTTTATGTTAGCTTTTCTTATGTATTGCCTCTTTCTCAATGTAAAACAAGCAAAAAAAATATGCCTTAACTTATAGTTTGGACTAATATAGTTTTCTTTTTTGAGACAGATTCTCACTGTTGCCCAGGTTGGAGTACAATGGAGCAATCTCGGCTCACTGCAATGTCTACCTCCCAGATTCAAGTGATTCTCCTGCCTCAGTCTCCTGAGTAGGTGGGGTTACAGCCACCCACCACCACGCCCAGCTAATTTTTTATATTTTTAGTAGAGACGATGGGGTTTCACCATGTTGGTTAGGCAGGTCTCAAACTCCTGACCTGAGGTGATCCACCAGCCTTGGCCTCCCAAAGTGCTGGAATTACAGGCATAAGCCATCTTACCTGGTTAGTTTTGGGTATTTGATTTGAAAATATATATGATTTTCTGCAATGTATTTCTCTAATTATTTTGCTAGCTTTCTATTCACCCCCAAAAAATCTCATGGAGGACATTATAACAGAATTATAGCTGACATAATACATAGGGTTAAATAAGAATCCCCCCCCCCAACTCTCATCATACGAAATAACATTTATCATCTAGTTGGGGTGTAGTGGCTCATGCCTATAATCTCAGCACTTTGTGAGGCCAAGGTGGGTGGATCACTCAAGGTTAGGAGTTCGAGACCAGCCTGGCCAACATGACAGAACCACATTTCTACTAAAAATACAAAAATTAGCAGGGCATGGTGACGGTTGCATGTATTCTCAGCTACTCAGGAGGGTGAGGCAGAATTACTTGAACCCAGGAGGTGGAGGTTGCAGTGAGCCGAGATCATGTCACTGCACTCTACCCTGAGTGATAGAGCGAAACTCTGTCTCAAAAAAAGTTTTAGTTGGGTACAGCCTGTAATCCCCAGCACTTTGGAGGGCGAGGCAGGTGAATCACCTGAGGTCAGGAGTTCAAGATCAGCCTGGCCAACATGGTGAAACCCCAACTCTACTAAAAATACAAAAACTAGCTGGGCATGGTGGCAGGTGCCTGTAATCCCAACTACTCAGGAGGCTGAGGCAAGATAATCACTTGAACCCAAGAGGCAGAGGTTGCAGTGACCCGATATTGTACCACTGTATTCCAGGGTGGGCACCAAGTGTGAAACTCAATCTCTTTTTTTTTAAAAGGAGAGAAGGAAAGAATGGAAAAAAAGGAGTGAAGGAGAGGAAGAAAGAGGAAGCAAAAGAGGGAGAGAGAACGGGAATATTGCTTTATTCTAAAAATGGGTATTAATAATGGCCGATCAATATTTTGTGTATTTGAAGTGGAGAATGTATATTTTGTGTATTTAAAGTGGAGAGCTCTATAAATATTTATTAAGCTTACTTGTTCCGGATCTGAGTTCAAGTCCTGGATATCCTTATTAATTTTCTGTCTCGCTGAGTCTAAATCTCTTTATGGGTCTTATGTATCTGGGTGTTAGGATCATTAGCTCTTATTGTTGCATTGATCCTTTTACCACTATATCTTTGTTGCTTTGAAATCTATTTTATCAGATGCAAGAATTGCAACTCCTGCTTTTTATTTATTTATTTATTTTTGCTCTCCATTTGGTTGGCACATCTTTCTCCATCCCTTTGTTTTCAGTCTTTGTGTACCTTTGGATGTGAAATGGGTATGGGTGTAGCATACTGTTAGGTTTTGGCTGTATCTTTGGATTGGGGGATTTAGTCAATTTAAATTTAGGGTTACTGCCATTTGATGTTAACTGGTTATTTTATCCATTCGTTGATGTAAATTCTTCTTTATGTTGATGCTCTTTACTTTTTGGTATATTCTTTAGAAAGGCTAATACTGGTTGTTTCTTTCTATGTGTAATGCTTCTTTCAGAAACTCTTGTAAAGCAGAAACTCCACCTCAAAAAAAAATTAAATAAAAATAAATAACATCTATTTTAGCTGAAACTCTTAACTACTGAAATTAAGAGGAAATAGAAGGCATGAAAATATTTTTAATGACATTATTTAAAGGTGTATTAAAATGACTCAAATACCCGTGACAATCAGGGACAAACATTCTAAGAAGTGAAAATCTATAATTAAAAAAAACAAAACAAAACCTTGCTTGATTTTAAATTTGTTTTAATCTCCCCAGAAACTACCATACCTCCTTAGAAATTACAAAATGGATACGTTTTGAATTTTGCCTCTCACATCCATGATTATTACTCACCAGGGGAGACAGTCACAAGAAATAAATCTGACAAAAGGTAGGCCAGAACCAAGAGATGCAGGCAACTCAACTGGATAATCAGAAACTGGCTATAAATTTAAAACGCACAAAAATCCCATTACAGCTCAGCGCCTTGGGTATACGACTTATTCTTATGATTTATGAGTGAGCCAGGTAATTATCACATGTGTATTTCATGGTTGTTAACCCAACATGACGAGAGAGATGGGGACGGAAGAAGGCTGTATATTATCTCTATTGCCACCTTCTTTATTACACTTACAGCCATAAGGCACAGAAAGTGATTCCTAGAATTTCAGAGCATCAGCAAATATAACCATTTCCAGAAAGCAGAATGATGGTAGAACCACAGCATCCCCTCTTCCCAGGGAACCTGGCCACCACTGATGGATATAGGAGTTCAGAAGAAATCACGTAGGCATATAATAAGGGGATGGGAGTCCTCAGTAAGGCTGTTCTCTTTAATGAAAAGCAGCCCAAATCATTTTTGAACAAAGAGAAGCCTGTAAAGTCCAGTTGCACAGACAAGCAAGCAGGGAGCTTCCGTGGACATGTTCAAGATGACAGCTCCATCTTCTCTTCTCTTTGTCAGCCATGTGTACAGCAAGGAGCAGACAAGATGGGGCAGGCCAAGAAGATTCTATTTGCATAATAAGATTAGGGTGGGGTGACCAGCCTTCCCCCCCCACCCCCACCGCTCCCCAGCGTTATGTAAACATCATGCCTGATCCAACCAATCTGTGAGCCCTACGTAAATCAGAACTCCTCACCATGGACTATAAAATCCGGAGCCGCCAGGTGCAGTGGCTCACGCCTGTAATCCCAGCACTTTGGGAGGCCGAGGCGGGTGGATCACTAGGTCAAGAGATTGAGACCATCCTGATCAACATGGTGAAACCCCATCTCTGCTAAAAATACAAAAAATTAGCTGGGCATGGTGGCACGTGCCTGTAATCCCAGCTACTCAAGAGGCTGAGGCAGGAGAATTGCCTGAACCCAGGAGGTGGAGGTTGCGGTGAGCCGAGATGGCGCCATTGCACTCCAGCTTGGGTAACAAGAGCGAAACTCCGTCTCAAAAAAAAAAAAAAAAAAAAAAAAAAATCAGGAGCATCCACCACCAGCTGGTCTTTTCCACTTGGACTCCCTTCTATCTCTATAGAGACAGTTGTTTCTCTTTCCCTTCTCTTCTGCCTATTAAACCTCTGCTGCTAAACTTCTCATGTGTGTCCGTGTCCTAAATGTTCCTGGCTAGAGATGACGAACCCCAGGGCATATACCCCAGACAACACAGCTGCTTCACCTCAGCTGGTAGTGTTGGTCTAGATTAGCACCTTCACTACGGTATTCAAAAGCAGCATGGTAATTGAAGATGTTCTTTTAGGGAAACTGAGGCTGAGAAAAGCAATTCAGTTGTAAGGCTTTTCAAATTTTATGAGACTCTCTTGATCAGTAGATCTGGACAAAGTCAAAATGTAAAGCATCTGTGCTGGATTTCAGTGTTCCCATCTGTATTGTCAGAACTCCTTTTTTTCTCCCATCCATTTTTCCCCATCATAGCTTCTCCAGATAGGTATCAGGAAGGGATCTAATAAAAGAATTACAGAATGTCAATGTTTTTTGGAGGCGGGCAGGAGACTAGGTTTTACTCTGTCATTCAGGCTGAAGTGTGGTAGCACAATCACAGCTCACTACAGCCTCGACTTACCAGGCCAAGAGGCCTGGTCAGCTTTTACATTTTCAAAAGAAGACTTCAAAACGAGTGCTTTACTCAAGTGAGAAAGTCTCATTGGGACTTGACCGACACAATGGCACCCAGGAGTTGGGAAGCCATTCGTAGCCCCTTGAAGTAATTTTCTGTATATTCAAGTGTAATATTTCCATAAAGATTAACCTAGTAAGACACAATGCCGTGTATTCCACGTTTGGATGATAACAAGCAATACTATCTAGTACCCAAAACTGTAGTTCAGTATGATAAAGACAGCTCAATCTGTCTTTATCAGATAGTCTTTATCATAAACCAAATAGTCTTTATCAGAAAGAACAATCATTCTTTTTCAAATACTAAATTTGAACATTTTAAAAATGTTTTTTGGTTATGTAGATTTGTTCTTTTTTGAATGGTCTACTCATATCCTTTTCTCCACTTTTCAATGGAAATTGTTTGTCTTTTTCTTGTCAGGTTGTGAAAGCACTTTGTATATTCTTACATGTACATGAGGTGGATTGAAATCCAGGTTATATACCCTTCCACTAGGAGGGTGAATCCAGCGACGGCTGAGACGATCTTTAAGTGTTTCAAATGGAATGTTCAAACTGATCACTAGATCCATTTCACAGATTTTGTCCAGGGCTTCCGCTTGTCCTAATGTCCTAGGAAAACCTAAATGCCAAAAACAAAACAAGTCAAATGCAAGATATTGCCCAATTCCAATTAGTTCTTGAAACATTCTCAGTGACGGAATTAAATCTGCATGTACCATTCTAAAAGGAGCTTTACACTATCTGGGTGATGTGATAATTTGCATCCCAAACCTTAGCACCACATAATAAACCCATGCACAAACCTGCACATGTATCCTCTGTCTCTAAAAGTTGAAATTATTTTTTAAAAAAGAGCTTTAACCAAGAATATCTACCTCTATAAATGTAATATTAAAATAAAATATGCTATTCTATAACCTAGCTTCTGCATTTGGAAGATGCAAAGATTAAGGAATCACCTGATAAAAATTTAAAATGCACTAAACTAAAAATCACTAACCCAGTCCTAACTCTAGTCCTTTCTCTCCTCTTAACTACCTGTGTGACCTCAAGCAAGTTACATCACTTCCATTTCCACTTCTGTTAAACAAGTGAAGGGAAAACATTATATCTTACATCCTTTTAACGCTAACAGTTTATAAGTAGGTTCTTAGGTTAGCAAAAATAACATATTTATTTATTTTAGAGTATAAATCAATTTAACTACGATCTTCCATCCAGACCTTCACCTGAGTCTGCACTTTAACCAAAGCGGGCAATCTGATTAACAGCATGGTGACAATCGTAAATATTGTACTGCATACTTGAAATGTGCTGGGAGTTGATTTTAAGGATTCTCACCACACACGCAAGAAATAATACCTATTGTGAGGCGAAGGATATGTGGTTAATTATTAAACTTGACTGTGGTAAGCATTTCACACTATAGGTATCAAAACATCACGCTGTAGATTTTAAATATATACACTTATCAAATACACCACAATAAAGCTGGAAAAAAAATTAAATTGTTTGAAGTCTGTTTAAAGATTTTAAAAGGAACTAGTGTTTTTAAATCTGCGATACTGCAAAATTTATTCTTCCTACTTTTCTAAATGTGCAAATAACGAAATTAAAATTTGGCCTCATGGGCATCTCTTCCTTTTCTGATTGAAGTATAAGCTCTGGGTGACCTCAGGAGTTAGGTCACATGACCCCAAATTACATTTTTCTTCAGAGATTGACCTTTCTAAATGTAACTCCAGGTTTGCCTCTGGTGGGACTGCAACGTGGTAACTTTTTCCTAAATACATCACTCTAGTTTATCTGCTCTGGCAAAAATCTTGCTGGATCTAATGTCACTTTTTAAAAAATGTCTTTATATCATAGTTAGGTAAAAGGACCAGGTAGATGAAGAGCTGAAAGTATAATAAAAGATGCAACATATGGAAGAGAAATTTTTAAATCCATTCAGATAAGGATACCAGCCCATCTACCCTTTCAAAATTGGAAGTATCAAGATGTCAACTTATAAATGGGTATTCATGGCTCTGTAGCACTTACAATTCAAAGAACTCCTTTCCTTACTGCGGGAAGTTGGTGGCTCAAACATGAATGTGAAGCACTGGATTGAAATCCCTAAGTCTGTATGAATGCCAAGCTGATTTCTGAGTGCTCACTGAGTCAAATGTGACAAAATGCACGCATGCTACTGCTTCAGACACCTACTGCAAACTTTCCAATGCTCCCTCCAAAGCTTTCCTTACTGCCAGTGAGCCATCCACATAAAGTCCCCTGTTAATGACTGTCGGATTCTGCCTTTCCCTGGACAATTCACTCTTTACTAAAATGTCAAGAGGACAACTGCAATAAAAAGGTGTCTGCAAGGCCGGACACAGTTGCTAGTGCCTGTAATCTCAATACTCTAGGAGGCCGAGGCAGTGGGATCACTTGAGGCCAGGAAGTCAAGACCAGCCTGGGCAATGTAGAGAGAACCCATCTCTACCAAAAATAAAAATTAAAAAATTAGCTGTTACTGGTGGTGCATGCCTGTAGTCCCAGGTATCTGGGAAGCTGAAGCTGGGGTGGGAGGATCACTTGACTCCAAGGAGATCAAGGCTGAAGTGAGCTACAGTCACACTACTGCACTCTAGCCTGGGTGACACAGTGAGATAGTGAGCTCCTGAGAAAGAAAAGAGAAGAGAGAAAAGAAAAAAGAAAAAAGGAAAGAAGGAAAGGAAGGAAGGGAAGACAGAGAAAAAGAGAAAGAAACAAAAAAGAAAAGAAAGGTACCTATAACCCAGACAACCTCAAGATCATCTATAAACTCTCCCCCAAAACCTCTGCCACATCAATGAAAAACATTTTCTAAAGCAGTGGCTTCCAAAGTCATCTTCATTAGAGTACAGAAAAAAAATATTTGAACTTTGGGGAAGGGGGAGGCAGGAAGGGCTCGGCTCGTTCTTTTAAAAGAATGTCATGTTAATGGCCGGGTGTGATGGGTCACGCCTGTAATCCCAGCACTTTGGGAAGCCCAGGCAGGCGGATCACATGAGGCCACAAGTTTGAGACCAGACCGGCCCACATGGCAATACTCCGTGTCTACTAAAAATAGAAAAATTAGCTGGACATGGTGGCGCACACCTGTAATCCCAGCCACTAGGGAGGCTGAGGCACAAGAATTGCTTGAACCGGGAGGCAGAGGTTGCCATGAGCTGAGCTCGTACCACTGCACTCTAGCCTGGATGACAGAGTAAGAATGTCTAAAAAAAAAAAAAATCACATTAGTGAAATTGCATGGGTAAATAATTTATACATAATTATTCATATATTGAAGATGTAAATTCAACCTTCTCACTGATAAATATAAACAAAGAATTTTAGAGATCTCTCTTTTAAAGACCTGAAATCTTAGCCACACTCCCTGCCTTGTGTTCTAGCACCGCTAACTGTGACCCTAACAAGGAAAGTCTTTATATCCATCAGATAAAGGTTGAGAGCTGGGGGTGGGCGTGGGGTGGAAGGGAAGCACTAGAAAAGAATAGGAAGCTGTAAAAGATAATGTAACATTGGTTCCTCCAACGAATAAAAGCTCAAATCTTACTGGCTGGTTTCCTTGTCTAATGAGGGTACAAGCCAGTGTGCTCAGCTTAGCTCTGGAGCCCTCTAGAGGAGGAAAATGCAAAGTGTACAAAATAAGCTGAACTCAGCAAGACAAATTTCAAAAACATATTGGGTAGCACCTGCTGCCAACTGGACTCGCACATTCAGACCTGCTAATGACCATAGATGATAATTAATTCTGGCTTTAGACTGCAAGCAACAGGTACCTGAAGTTGGTTTAGAAGGAACAACTATAGAAATAAACCATTCCACAACTTGAAGAGTTCTCCATTTGATAGAACACATCAAAATCACCAGGGAAGACTCAAAAGAAAAATAGATGATGATGGATGCTCAGATCCTGTCCCAGACTTCCTAGAGTGGAATATCTAGGAGTCAGATCGGGACTTGGGTCTTTCTAATATTTATGCCTGATTCATGACGAACCAGCAAACTTCTTAGTGACAGCAACACTGCAAGTATGATAGTAAACACTTATCTGCCCCGTTTCTCTGTCAGGCTTAACTCTACCTCCAAGCAGGTAACAAACCACTTTGAAGAACAAGTTGACTCTATCTCACTTCATCAGAAGAAAGCTGGGAAGGAAAGTCCCAAACACATGCAAATCTTTTTAGATTTACGAAGTCCCTAACTTAGTCACCTGTTTGTGCCATTCCTCTCCAGAAGTGCTCATGTACTTGTCCAGTGTCTTACCTCTAAGGAATGTGGTGGCAGGGGAGAAAGCATAGTATATTTGTGAGAACAATGGACCAGACAGAAGTCAAAGATCTGGGTGTCACTCACTATTTCAAAAGTGAGGAGCAGCAGCCTTAAGGCAGACACACTCAGGACTCAATATAACACATCAGGTATAGGCACAAGCTTTGGAATCAAACACACCTGGATTTAATCCCTAGCTTTAACTCTGCCTGGAATCAGACACATCTGGATTTAATCCCTGGGCTTAACTCTACCTAGCTGTAACTGTGAGAACTTTGGCAAGTTTCATACACTCTCTGATCCTTAGTTTCATTAGATATGAAACAAGGGGCTGGGAACAGTGGTTCATATCTGTAATCCCAGCACTTTGGGTGGCCAAGAGGGGTGGATGGCTTGAGGTCTGGAGTTCTCTACTAAAAATACAAAAATAAACCTCAGGAGGCTGAGGCAGGAGAATTGCTTGAACCTGGGAGGCAGAGGTTGTAGTGAGCCGAGATTGTGCCACTACACTTCAGCCTGGGCAACAGAAACTCCATCTCAAACACACACACACACACACACACACACACACACACACACACACATATTAGTTTGCTAGGGCTGCCACAGACTGGGTAGCTTAAACAATCCTGGAGGCTACAAGTCCAAAACCAAGGTATAAGCAGGCCTTGTTCTTCTGAGGCCTCTAGCTGATGCATAGATCGCTGTCTCTCATGCTGCTTTCACATGGTCTTCCCTCTATGCATCTATGTCCAAATTGCCTTTTCTTATAAGGACACCAGTGAGATTGGATTGGGGCCCACCCTAACGACCTCATCTCTAAATATAGTCACAATATTTTTATAGACCTTATCTCTAAATATAGTCATAATCTGAGGTACTGGGGCAGTTACGGCTTCAACACAGGAATTCAAGGTCAGAGGACACAACTCAGCCCATGACAAAGGGTAATGTCTACTGCACAGGGCAGTTTGAGGAGTAAAAGTGATAATCCCTGTAAAATGTATAAGAAGCAAAGTGCTGGACACATGGAGAGTGTGCTGGTTAACAAACGGTTGCTGCTGCTCTTGGTAGAGCTCACTTAGGAGCTCAGCTAATTTCCCAATTCAATAAAAAAGCAGCAGGAGGCTGAGTGTGGTGGCTCAGGCCTGTATCCCAGCACTTTGGGAGGCCGAGGCGGGCAGATCATGAGGTCGGGAGTTTGAGACCAGCCTGACCAACACAGTAAAACACCATCTCTACTAAAAATACAAAATTTGCCAGGCACGGTGTTGTGCACCTGTAATCCCAGCTACTCAGGAGGCTGAGGCAGGAGAA